CAAATGAAAGGTAAATATCTAAGGTTTTAGTATAAAAAAAAATTATGTTGATTTGTTGATTTTTCAAAAAGTTATGGAAGTTTTAAGAAAAAAAAGTGAAAAAATTTCGAAAATTAGCGATTTTTAAATTTGTAATTTTTTTGGATATTTCCCCCATTTACGGGGAACGAGGGAAATTTTTTCAACTTTTAAGGGTAATGTCTTCAACTAGATACGATTTGTGATCTTTTGACGTATTTTTCAAAGAAATCGGTCCAGTGAGAGCTGAGAAAAAGTGGCAACAGACATAAAAAAAAAAAAAAACACATCATAGTAAAATTAATACCTTCTCCGCTTCGCATCGAAGCTAAAATATGTGTAAACAAAATAATAATACTTATGATGTATGGAAACATTCAAAACTTGGCAATAATAACTATGTAATATCATCAAGAACAATTCTAAACATATTAAATAATCAAAAAAATTAATTTTATTTTCTTAGTTTGTTTAAGACAAAGTTATGTAATTAAAATGATTTTCTATATTCTAGATTGTTCTTTTAGCTTCGATGCGAAGCTGAGAAGGTATTAATTTTACTATGATGTGTTTTTTTTTTTGTGTCTGTTACCACTTTTTCTCAGCTCTCACCGAACCGATTTCTTTCAACGATACGTCAAAAGATCACAAATCGTATCTAGTCATAGACATTACCCTCAAAAATTGAAAAAATTTCCCTCGTTCCCCGTAAATGGGGGAAACCTCCAAAAAAATTACAAATTTAAAAATCGCTAATTTTCGAAATTTTTTCAATTTTTTTTACTTAAAACTGCCATAACTTTTTAAAAAGTTAAACATATTTAAATTTTTTTGTTTCTTTGAAGTCAAGAAAAATAACTTTAAAATTTGAACTAGCTAAATTTCCATTTTTATTACGTGACGAATACGACGTACGGTGTCTGAGACGGTAACACTTGGATCTTTCACGCCTGTGGCACTGAATTTTTTCTTAATTCTTTTTGAATTAGAAAAAAATGTGTTAACTCATTTGATTTTTATATCATTTAGATTCAATAACTTCAATAAATATCAAGGATCCCATTACTGTAGTCTCCTCTTTAAAGAAGAAATTCATATTAATATTATTTTACTATGTGGTTTTTTTTGTAGCTTTTTCATTTATTTGTAGCTTTCATTTATTTTATCAGCTATCACTTGACCTACTTTTTTGATAAATTTTTTTTTAAATTAAACACTATCTATAGATTTGCATCGAAGCGTTTTTTTATGATAGTGATTTTAATCACTGTCAGATACAGGGGCGGATCCAGAATTTATTCCAGGGGGGGGGCGTCATTAGATAAATTTTTTTCTTTTAAGAACTGATTTATTATTTTGTGTTTATTACATTTCTATTTTTAATAATTCGTTTAATGTTTGCTGTATAATAATTTTTTAAATTACTATAGTATATGTTTTTTGGTGACTTTAAGGACATAGATATATAAAAATAAACTCGTTAATTAAAATTAATTGCATATGAAGAACTTTATTTGAAATTAAAAGCTATTTAACAAATAAAAACAAAATATACATTTCATACAATATTATAACTTAACACCTAAGTTTGTACAAATACTATTAAAATACTTAATAAAATAATATTAAAAAAAGCCAGTAGCTGAGGAGGGGGCGCGCGCCACCTGCGCCCCCTACTGGATCCGCCACTGGTCACATATCATCTATACTGGACCCAACTATGCCACGACCCCACTGTGCTGGGTTTTTTAACTATTAGTTTTGAGATGTTTAAAAATAAAAAGTTATATACATACTTTAGATTAATAAAATTAATTGTATTTAGATTTTTATATGGCCTCAAGTATTATATATTAATGAATGGAAAACATAGTTTCGGCTCTATTTGTTAAAAATATGGTAAATTTTACAAAATTGAAAATTTCGTCAATGTCTAATATCCTACTGAAAGTAGCTCTCCATACAATAGAAATACTATCTTATTCAATAAATATTTTAAACTTTTATTAACATTTTTAAACTCAATTTATTAATTTAAATTTATTTCTATCAAACTTTTTTATAATGTGTATAAAGAGTAATAATTGAAATTATTATTTCTGAATTTAAATATTATAATAATTGTCGTTTTTTAATTATTAAATGATTATTACATTATTATTTCAAAATACTAAAAAAATAATAATAAATAAAAGTAATTAACTTTCACCGCATTGTAGTATGAAAAAGAATTTTAGGCGTTTATAATTCCATTTTAAAATGTACTATATTTAAATAATTATGAAAACTCAATTGTAGTATATTGCTTAGACAAAATTTAAAATTTCAAGGTCACATGTCCAGTCATTATTTATAGCCGTTTGAATTTTAGATATAGTATAGTTATATTACGGTTATTTTAACTTGGAACAGGTCTTTCTTGTCAACTTTTTTAACAAGTTAAAATTGTTTTTTTTTATTTTATTAAAATTAAAGTTCAAAGATGTTATAAAAAAAAATTTTTTTGACTAAGTATTTTTACTCTACAATTAAACAAAGTTTGTCTTGTTTTATTTAAAAATTAGGCTGGGCAAGTAAGTCACATTTTTAAGTTTTGATTTAAAAACATTCAAAAATTGAAGTTTAGTAATAATTTATGAATATAATTTATTAAGTTTTAATAGTGAATAATTAATTTACTAGTTACTTTAAATAGTAATAATAACTTTTTAATTTAAGTAAAGTTAGCTAATAGAAATATTTGCTGTCCATACAAAAATTAATTTTCTTTATTTGAAAAGAAGAATAAATTCCAATTATCTTGAATGTGTTAAAGCTTTCATGGATTGTCTTGTTGCTTGAAGTGCTTGAGGATATATCCATTTTTGCAGTTGAGTTCTGACGTTTCGGACTCAGAGTATAGTTGCAGCCACCGACTAGCAACCATCACTCTGAAGATGGACTCTGCAATGAGTCCGAAACGTCAGAACTCAACTGCAAACATGGATATATCCTCAAGCTCCAATTATCTATTATAAAAACAGAAAATATTCCTGCGCATTGTTATCAATTTCTTCCTTCGTTTATTCCTCAGACCATGTTAAACCGGTGACACCCACCACGTGCAAGTTTTAGGTATAATTACTTCTAAATTTATAAAAATTATGTTCCAAAGCTAGTAAAATGAATAATAAACCTGTATTTATTTTACTATGATTACATTAAATAACGAGTATACTATAATGTTAAACTCATGATAGTATTGGTGTCATTAATCAGTAATCAGGTAATAGTAACTATCGATAGTCAAATAAAAGTAATCAACTTAGGGTTAAACCAAATAATTTGTGTACATTTTGATAAGAAATTAAATTCTATGATGTAATATCGCAGTTCAAAGACGTACTTAAAGTTAGGATGCCCCAGGTAAAATTTTATTGCCGCCCTAACATACCTCCCAAAATTTGTTTTTATCATTATTTCCATTGTTATCTATGGATTTTACCATATTAAAATTATTCTGTGATTTTACGCGATTAACTTTAGATAATATTATCATGAAAAATAAAAATCACAGTGTAGCCGCTTATTCAAAATCTTAAAATATTTTAATTTTTTATACAAAAAAATTAAATAATCCAAAAAAGAATACCACCACTTAAATTCCAAAAAAAATTTGCCTCTTGGTCCGATGGAACCCACTGCCCTTTTAAATACGTCCCTGTCACAGTCAAAATAATACTTTCGATAATAAGACAATATTATATTAATATCATTGTTTAAAACGTATGTCTATTTAATACACCACCATATAACTCGATAATTGAACAATTGTGACCTCGATAGTTTTAATAAATTACAGATGACTTAACAACAACCATAACTTATACTCTTGAGTATAGATATTTGAAATACCCAACTATCTATATTCAATGCCTATACTTATATAATGCATAGGTATATGTACTTTATGACATAATGTGAATAATAGCAGCTGTTAATTTCTTTATCAAAACTCGAGGAACAAGATGTAAATGTTATTTATTAAGTAGCCTATAATACAAACAATCGCAATCTATTTTTAAATTAAAACATATAAGTTCATTATTTTATGAACACCATTAGCTAACTATCAATATTTTATAGTAATTCAAATTAATTTATAATCCATTTAAAATTTATTTTTATAATCCTAAAAAAAAAGTCTTAAAATATTAAAGTAAAAATGTCTCTTACAAAAGGTAACTAGCTAAAATTTTAAATTTTTTATAGATTTATATAGTGTGTTATGTTTATATAGGTATTTTTATTGTTGCTGCTAAAAGGACTCCATTTGGAACTTATGGTGGTAAATTTGTCAAAACGTCATCTACTCAATTACAAGTAACAGCAGCCAAAGCTGCACTAGCTGCTGGAAATATAGATCCAAACATTGTTGATTCTGTAATTATTGGCAATGTTTTAATGGTAAAATAATTTTATTTTATTTTCGGTTCTATTCTTTTTACAAAATCATCTATAAGTTTGGTTCCAAGGAGTCTAAATGATTCCCTTAAATTTTTTTAAAAATGTATTTGTTATGAACCCTCAAACCTTTATATATGTATAAATATATTGGAGATTTCTCCCGAAAAAAATATTCTAAATAAGGATGAGATGAATACTTGGAAACTATTCGGTGTCTGACTAATACTTCTGGAGTAATTAATATTTTGCATCATTAACTATATTTATTAACTATTTGGACAAATTTTGGTCAAAATTTGACCAAATAGTTAAAAAAATAATGAAATTTAAATAAAATTAGAAATAAATTTATTTAGAAAGCCTTTGGCTTCTACAAAGTGATGTGTTTATCATAACCTACCTCATAATTAAGTGGATTTTACTTTACGATTAATTTTTTAAATTAATTAATTATTAATCGTAAAGTAATTATAATATTGTTGTATCAACTCTAGAAAACCAGTGAAATGTTCTTTTAGTCAAGAAATCTATAAAATGTCAGAATATTTTATTAAAGTACTTGGAATTTTGACAAAATTGTTTTACAGTGTAGTGCAGGGTCAGACTCGAAGGCCAACAACCTAGATATCACAATAATTGTGGTGGGCCAATTCACTCCATAAAATATTTCTATTGCTCCATAAAATGAAATAATGAGTACAAAAAAATGGTCAAAAATAAGTTTTACAGACCAGATTATGCTAATCATAAAAGCTCTCATCGTTCTTTAGAATGTGGCCCAGGGAGCAATTGCCTTCTTGTCCCTGTGGCCAGTCCTACCCTGATATAGTGGATATCTGTCAAAATTTATCAATTCATCAATCATTGGTATTCAGTTATTGTATAAATTGTTCACATTTTTATGCCATAAAAAATTAGTAAATTTTGCATTTTAAGTTGATAAGTGAATAAATTTACGCCTTCTATAATATTTTAAGTTTTGTTTGGTAATAGCTTTATTCATACTTGCATTTTTTCATTTTTAGTATAGTTATGTATAATTATATAAAATTATAATAAAATAAAATATTATGGTTTAAATTTTATTTTTATGAAACTTCAATAGAATACATCTTCTGATGGAGCTTTTTTACCTCGACATGTACTTCTTCATTGTGGAATACCTCAAGATCGCCATGCTTTAGGTATTAACCGATTATGTGGTTCTGGATTTCAGTCCATTGTAAATGGTGCACAGGTATAATATACAGGTAGAGTTTACATATTGATATAAAAGTTGTTTCATTATTTTTTAAATATTTTTAAAAGAGCATACTAACTGGTGAATCAAATGTTGTTTTAACTGGTGGTGTTGACAATATGAGTCAAGCCCCTCATGTTGTTCGTGATGCAAGGTTTGGTATACCGCTAGGAGCTGCTTATCAATTTGAAGATTCATTATGGACGGGACTTACTGATACATTTTGTAAACTTCCAATGGCTTTGACAGCTGAAAAATTAGCAGAAGTTTACAAAGTAACACGACAAGAAGTTGACGAATTTGCTTTGCGTTCTCAAACACTTTGGAAAGAAGGTATATACATTAAATTTTATAAAATATTTTTATGTTAATCATAATTTTTTGATATATTTTATTATAAATTCAAAAATTAAAATTTATTATTAGTTTCAGTTTTTTATTCATATAAACTATTATATTGTATTTTTTACATACTTTAATTTTTTTGATCAGTATTTCTTACTTTCTATAAATTAAAAATATATAATTTCTATTTAGTTGCAACTTGGGTTAGATGTAAATTCATTTATTCTCTTAGAATATTTAGCAAGTTTTATTTTAAATTAAATAGTTCTGATTCCTTATATGTGTTGCTATTATATTAAATGCAAGTTCGAAATGAAAACTTATACATGTACTAATACATTTATAATTACCCTACAGTACCCTATTTTTAAAAAATTAAATTTAATAAAACTTAAAATTAAGATTGAATACTTATGAGTTAGAATATTAAAGCTTAATTACTTTTATTTTACTTATCAATTGAACTTTATAAATTATATAAAATCTAACATAACATCATGTTTTTTGTTAAAAGATTTTCTGTTTTTTTGTAGAAAACAATTTGTTTGTTTATTTTTGTGAAAAAAATACATATGCAAAACAAGTGTCCTTTTGACAAAAATAATGACTAATTTTACTGTTGCATGATGCTAATAATTTTTATTATTATTAACTTTTTGTTTGTGATATTATTAGAATATAATTTTTCATTCTCATTGTCTATCTTACTATGCACAACATAATAATTTTATGATAAATTTGATATTTATCAAATTTACACTTGTTTATCACTGTATCATAGTTCATTTATACCTTTTATTTTTATGTTATGTGTCATCATTATTTTATTGTAGTGTGTAATAATTTAATATAATTAAAATTTTATATTATTAAAAATTAATAAACAAATATTTGTCACTATTTATCCACTGTTAAAATGGTACATATGAAGCAACTTAAAACTTGTATAAATCTAAATTAAATATTGTTAGAGTAATTAAATTTGTATAAATGCTAGTACGTAGCACATAAAAGTTTTATTGTACACAGTTATCAATTTTTAGAAGTTATACAGTTCTTTATAATTTCCCAAAACTTTTCCTATTGAAACATATGCTCTTTTAACAAAAAGTGTATCACATGTAATTTAAAAAAATAATAATAATTTGATTACTTAAAAATACATAATTCTGATTATGCTAGAATAATTAACCAAAAAATACATTTATAAATTTACCATAAAAAAAAAAAATAGTAAAAAATGTGTAAAAAATTATTTTAATATTACAAAATGTAAGAAATTTCATTAAAATTAATGTATAGTAAAAATTGATTATTTGTGACTAATACTATTTAAAATATTAATTTATAACTAAAAATATTAAAAATACTTAACTGAAAAAGAGATGGGTGACCAGCAAATTAGAAATTCCACTTAAAAATAATATCTAAATTTGATTTCTAATTATTTTTAAGCACAAAATAGTTATTTATACACCTCCAGTAGACCACTATAATTTTTTTTTATTTTAGGTACAATTGTGACATTATTTTCTTAAAATTTGAAAAAGTATAATACAATTTTTAGTAGAAAGTAGCTTAAAAATTAAATATTAAAATTGTAATAATTAATTTAAAATATCTTGTATAAACTCATTCTTTAATATACATTAAATATTTTAGCTCAAGCCAAAAATGTATTCAGTTCAGAATTAGCTCCAGTTACAATAAAAGTGAAAAAAACAGATGTTACTGTAGATATTGATGAACATCCAAAACCCAAAACAACTCTTGAAACATTAGCCAAATTACCTACAGTCTTTAAAAAAGATGGAGTAGTAACTGCTGGTTCTGCTTCGGTAAGGAATATATATAAATAAAACATGATATTTTTTTTTCTTTCCCTGTGGATAGGGGATAAGAATACTTCCACGGCCCCTCTGCCAGTCGTAAGAGGTGACTAATGAGGACGCGTCAGGTCCAGAGCCGGCGTAAAATTTTTATCAAATAGTATGAGATGTCCTGAACAAAATTTAGGCGAATTGTCCCATTTCAAATGTACTTGGGGACAACAGGTTAGAGGGAATAAAGTAGTTAAAAATGTAGTTTAAAAAAACTAAACACACGCTTTTAAACGGTGTAGGGACATCACCACTTAACTCTAGGCTGGACTCGTGTATAAGGGAGAAAGATAGATACAAAGTAAGAATAGGTACTTGGAATGTTGGAACATTAACTGGTAGAAGTTGAGAATTAGTAGAATTATTGAAGAGGAGAAAAGATATTATTTGTTATGTGCAGGAAACTAAGTGTATGGGAGAGAAATCCAGGGAAATAGGTGAGGATTATAAAATAATATACACAGATAAGTCTAGTACATAGAATGGCGTAGGAATAGTAATAGATGAGGAGATGAAAAGTAAAGTAGAAGTAGCTAGGAAAAGTAACAGAATTATAGTCGTAAAATTGATATTCAAGGAAAAAGTGCTGAATGTAATAAGTGCCTATGCACCACAAGTAGGATGTGATGAAATAGACAAGGAAGTGTTTTGGTGAGAGATGGATATGGTGAAAGGTGAAGATATGAATGAATGGACATGTAGGTAATGAGAGGAGAGGATATGAAAGAGTACATGAAGGGTATGGTTTTAATAGGAAGAATGAGGCTGGAAAAAGAATTCTGGATTTCGCAGTATCATATGATCTTGCTGTGGTTAATACTTATTTTAGAAAGAGGGAAGAACATTATATAATATATAAGAGTGGGAGGAATAGATCAAAGATCGATTATTTTATGTGGAAAAGAGAGAGCGTAAAGCAAGTAAAAGATTGGAAAGTTATACCAGGCAAGAGTGTAATCACACAACATAGACGGATGGTAATGGAGTTGTAGTATACCGGAAAGAGAATAAACAAAAATAGAAGAAACACAGGGAAAAAATCGAAGATCCGGTGGTGGAAATTGATAGGGAAAAATGAAAAAGAGTTTGTAAAGACGGTGAAAAAGAGGACAGTGTGGAATGTCAAAGGAGACATTAATGATGTGTGGAATAGATTTGCTAGATGTGTAAAGAATACTGCAAAGGAGATTGTTGGTGAGAGTAGGAGTAGAATACCAGAAAACAAGAAAACCTGGTGGTGGGATGATGACGTTCAAAAAATCATAGAAAGTAAGAAAAAGCAATTCAAAGTATGGCAGAAGAGCAAAAGGAGAGAAGACTGGATGGAGTATAAACGCTTATGCAAAAAAGCCAAGTGTGCAGTAAGTAAGGCGAAGTTTAAGAGGTATGATGAGTTGTATAAAAGGCTAGGAATAAAGGAAGGCGAGAAAGAAATCTATAGACTCTCAAAAGTAAGAGAAAAAAGGTCTAAAGATTATCATTATAGAAGGTATAAAAAGTATTGATAATAAGGTACTACTCTCGAGTTATGATGATGTGAAAAAAAGGTGGAAAGAGTATTTTGAAAAATTACTGAATGAGGAGTATTCAAACGAGAATTAGAGGATATCTCGTAGAATGAGGGACTGGTAGATATAATTAGTGAAAAAGAGATATGGGAGGCTGTGGCATCAATGAAAAAGAATAAAGCAGTAGGACCAGATGAAGTGCTAGTAGAAGTATGGAAAATATTAGGCGATATTGGCATAAGTGATTGAAGGAACTTTTAATTAAAATCTTATTAGAAGGGAAAATTCCAAATGAATGGAGGAATAGTATTGTGATACTATATGTGTTATTTAAAAGTAAAGATGACATATAGGAGTGGGGAAATTATAGAGGCATAAAGCTTAGGAGTCATAGATTAAAATTTGGGAAAAGGTAATAAATAAGAGAATAAGAATTGAGATATAGGTATCTAAACATTGGTACCGAGAGAGGTTTTAAAGTGGGCATTAATGAGAAAAGGTACATTAATATAATAGAAGATATGTATAAGGCACTTGTACCAGGTTAAAAGCGATTTTAATCACTGTCAAATATTATCTATACTGGACCCAACTATGCCACGTCCACACTGTGCCATGACCTCACTGTGCTACCGTTTTTTCTATTGAATTGTATAATTAAAAACCAAGGTTTATAATATCAGTGGGGTGCTTAGGGTTTTTATTCTTTAAGGGAGATGGTTATATATAAGAAAATGTTTCACTTCCCTTTCCAAAAGAAAACAAATTGTATCATCACCATATAATTATGTGGTCATGGAGGAATATGACAGCAATATCTGCAATGATTACTCCAGTTCACAATGTGTTCTGAATGTATAGTTGTTCAAAATTGATAAAAAGGTAGCAAAAAATAAAAAATTTCACTTTTAAAAATTAAACACTACCTACAGACTTGTTTGCTTTGAAGCATTTCTTATGATAGTGATTTTAATCACTGTCAGATATCGTCTAAACTTGTCTATAAAGGTGGCTGACCCCAAGTAGCTGGGATTAAGGCGAGGAAGAAGAAGATGGTGATTTTTTTCCTGTGTTAATAATATTCTTTTTGTTGTACTTTGTCAGTAGTATAATATATTTTTAAAAATATATTTATTAAACATTTCAGTCACTCTTGCTAAAATAAAAAAAATTTACTTTATTACCTGTAAAAATTTATATAATATGTTACCTCATCAGTCACTAAAATTGCTATTAAATTTTACACTTTCCTAAAGTAAATCCCTAATAGATAGATGTTTTACATTTATTTTAGGGTATCTGTGATGGAGCTGGAGCTCTTGTTTTGGCTAGCGAAGAAGCTTTAAAAAAATATTCTTTAACACCACTGGCAAGACTAGTTGGTTATTCTGTGGTAGGAGTTGATCCAAGTATAATGGGTATTGGCCCAGCTCCAGCAATTACAAAGCTTTTAAGTTTATCAGGAAAAAGTCTTGATGATATTGATTTAGTGGAGGTATTTAGTTTTATTTTTGAACCATTTTTATTAGTAAATAAGTATGTTTTTTTAGATAAATGAAGCATTTGGGGCACAAACTCTTGCTTGCCAAAAAGAGTTAAAGCTCAATATTGAAAAACTTAATGTAAATGGTGGAGCTATAGCTATTGGCCACCCTCTAGCTGCTTCTGGTGCAAGAATAACAACTCATCTTGTTCATGAACTTAGGTAAAAGTTTGTTTTTATATATTTTTTTTAAATATTTTTATAATAATTCTTTTTTCAATTGACTTTGAGAAGGGAGAGTAGCTATTTAAAATACTTTATACTAAAATAGCTTATTTAATTTTCTTAAATAGTAATTCATAGTAAAAAAAATTTAGGAAGCAAAAATATGTAATACACCTCTTAAAAATATTTTCTGGTTTCACTGGCTGCGTTTTGTTTGATATTTAGTAGTTACTAATTTACTGATTAGTTAAAAATACTTAGACAAATATACAGTAATACAATACTCCCATATTTTTTTTTGAAGATTAATTTTATCTATAATTGGAACTAAATCTATAATTTTGAGTTCAACATCTAAGTTCTATTAATTAATTTTAATTTCAAATATCAAACTTAAGCACTTTAATACTATTCAAATATTTTTTAATTCTTCTAAAAATTTTATCTTTATACTAAATTTGTTAAATAATAATTTTTGTTTAGTTGTTAGAGAAAATTATATAAAATTCTGTTATTTTTTCAATATTATTATAGTAGATTTTTACTATGTAAATATTTTCAATGTTAGTTTACTCTATTATAAAACTAATAATTAAATCATTTTTTTATAGACGTAAAAATTTGAACTATGCAATAGGTTCAGCTTGTATTGGTGGCGGACAAGGTATTGCTGTTTTGATTGAAAAAGTTTAATTTAATTACTAATGAATAATTGGAGGCTGGATATTCAAATTATCAAATTTATTATGAAAAATGTATATTGTATATTTTTTAATATTTTATTGGGTTATTCCATTATTATAACATATATATTAAATTATAAAATAGTCCTTTGTTTTCACCAGTATCTATCCAATTAATAGTCAATTATTATTGTTCTAATAATCTCAACATATTTTACATGTTTTTATTCAATTGATACTACTCATCTATCAATTAAGATGAAAATCTATTTTAATTTATTTATTTATTAAAATTAAATAATCAAAAATATAACTTTGATGTTTAATACAGAATAAAATGAAAATTACAGAAATGATTTTGCCAGAAAACCTTATCCCTCACAACATTTTAAAGTTTTAAAAATTTATTAATATTAAAAAGATACATAAAACATAATTAAACATTGCACATATGTTAATTTAATGTTTTCTAAAAATACTGTGTGATGTTATTGAAGCTCCATCAAGGGTTAATAAATAAATAAATTTTTATATATTTTATCAAAACCTAAGAGGGATGATTGAGCCCCTCAAAAAATATAATATAATTATAATTTTTTTATGTTAATAATACAAGTAACTAAAGTAGTAGTAAAAAATATTTTCGTAAGAATAATGAAATAAATAGTTGCCAAAATTAAATTATCCGTGTAGACTATCCAAAAAAAAATTCCTGAGAGTATAATATAATTTAAGTTAGTATTTTAATCTTAAATATCAATTACACTATCGATAATAAACATAAACAACTTTTAGTTAAAATATATATTATTTCATAAATATATAAATAATTTATACAATATACAGATTATGCATTAGTTTTTTTAAACAAAAAAATGGGTTCTCTGTTAAATAATACAATGTGAATTAAATTATAATACTAATTTTATAATAAATATATCATCCAAATTTCACACCAATATGACATTTTGAATTAATCATAAATAATTTAGGGATTTTCTAAATTAGGTTGATTGTATTCATATTCTGGAATTTCTTTCCAATTTGGTGATGGTTCATAAGATGATAACCAATCAAAATCATTAATTATTTTCCAATTATTGTTATTTATATCAAACTTTATAACTTTGAAAATATTTTCAATTATTGGATTATTGATTTTTAGAGGACCAAAACGTAAATTTTTGCTATTTTCAATAATAGCAGAACTGACAACATATATATAAAAATCACAAGAAGATGTTTCATGGATTCGTAACTGCTGAGATGCACATGTAAATATTGTTTTTTTACAATTTTCTATGAAAATAGAAGTAATTGCACAAGCAAATATTTTACAATTGTCCAATGATGTTATATGAATAGTACTTGGAGAACCATATATTAAAACATTACAATTATTCAAATTCTCTAGAACAATATCTTTTGAAAAAGTTTGATCTTCTAAAAGTTTTAAACTTTCATTGGAACGATTTTTAAAACCACAATCATCAAATACTAAATTATTTAATGGTCGAAAGTTTGATTTTACTTCTTTTTGTTTTGGAGATTTTATTTGATTTTTTCTGAAGGCAAATTTCTTCTTTGGTAACAATTTATCATGTAAATTTTCATAAAATCTGGTTAGTTCTTTGATTGTATTAGAACATTTTTTCATATTATATGCAGGTAAAAAAACTTTGCAATCATTGAGATATTCTTGAAGTTCGTTTATTTTTTTCATTACTTCTTGAAATGTAATATGGTAAAGGTCAGTCTGTATTTCATTGCTTTCAATAGCAGTTAATGTATTGATGATGTCATTATACTTGCTAATAAATGTATCATCAAATGCATTCTTTTCATTGTTAACAATTTCACTTGATAAATCCATCATATTCTTAACATGAATTTATTAAATCAATATTTAAATTTTAATACAACATATTATTTGTTAATATAAATATATGTGTACATGAATACATATGGTAGCATTTATAATTTTAATGTATTATACAAATAATAATAAAACTATATCAATAGTTAAATGGCTGATAGACATAAAGTTAATTCCAATATTTCAATTTTAAATTAAAAAACCCAGCACAGGGGGGTCGCGGCACAGTGGTGACGTGGCATAGTTGGATCAAGTATAATGATATCTGATAGTGATTAAAATCACTATCAAAAATAAACGCTTCGATGCAAATCTTTAGATAGTGTTTAATTTTAAAAAAATTGGTGTTTTATTCCAAAAGCTACTTGATCTGCTGGTTCCTTATTAATATCTCGATTAAGATAAAGTATGTCGAATGAAAAAGGGTTTATTAAAAAATATTATTTCTCATAAAAAAATT